ATTTATATTCGGCTATCAGCTATAAGTCACTATCTTTAATGATAACATCATTGTAATCACTAAATTTAGCAAAAACTTTAAAAGCAATATTATTTCCAGTTTCGGTTTTGATTTTCAAAAATGCTGATGAAATATCCAACAAAAAATTCTTCTATATCGGAGAATAAGAATGTCATGAAATGAACGTTTCATACTATTGTCCGTAAAACGTTTATAATTGGATGTACACTGTCTTTATTTTAAGAGGTAAGTTTTATGATACAATACAATAATTCTTTACTTGCTGGAATCGGAAATTGATAAGCCTTTGCCACCAGTATAGAGCTATGGCAGCCTGCACAACCGTGCTGTCCGTCCAGACTCTATACTGTCCGCAGCTCATTTCTTTGTATTTTGATTTTGAAATGCCTTAAACTTTGAATGGACATTTTCAAACGCAAAGTTAGGCATCAGGTTAAAGGTTTTATTTTTCGTTGTAAAGGTGTTGGTTTTGAAATCCTTTTCAGGAAATACTTTTACAAAAATATACTTATTTAAAGTTCATATTACAATAACGTGCTTTCTTTGGGCAATGTATTTTCTTTCATGTTTATCAATCCAAATATGCACCAATTTTAGAAATAATTATTTGACTTATTTAAACATATTTTAGTGTTCATTTTGTATGTCAGCATTTACGTATAACTGTATTTTATTATAACATTAAACCAAAAGTAGCAATGGTGGCATGGCCAAGTGGTTAAAGCGTCGGACTAGTAATGTAATGATCGCTAGCAGCATGGGTTCGCAATGCGTTGTTTTCTTGAGCAAGAAACTTTCACTTATTGTTTAGTACTGGTTGGTCCCAGGAACGGATACGACAGTGAGTGTGTCTATAAGCTTAATTTTAGCTTCCTACACAATCGAACTAAAATAAATTACGTATAAACCAAAAGAAGTAAAAGGGTTGAACTTCAAGTTATAACAAGGTTAGCGAGTGGGCTTCCCTGGTGTACAAATAGACGAAAACTGGTCATTGAAATATATTTGAAGATATTCATGATACGATTTTACAAGGGAAATTCAGTATGCTAAATCAAATATTTATCACGCCAAAACAATAGAACAAAGGACATGTATCAACAATTAAGGCGACTTTCACATAGCGCAGCCTCCGATATAATACTGTCACACCGGCACTGCGCCCAGTAGGGCACCGATCCAAAAATGAATGCGGCTGTACTTGAAAAGTTATTTACATTATAAGCAGCACTTGCGTATCCATGGAGACATATTGTTTAGATACCTGTTATAGTTTCTTCTGGGTGAGCTTATTTGCTAACCAAATTTAACAAATGTAATAACTTATTTAGACAAGTCATGACAAAAAATAGATTTAATAGGTGTTCACCAACTCCACCAGAACTTTGATTATCGTTATAACTCTACGTTAGAGTATACTGAAATTTTCTTTTTGTTACCTTTCATGAATATTTCATAGTTCACAAATCTGTCAAACAAATATTCTCTTAAAGAACGTGGTTCCTTTCCGGTCATTTTATTTGTTGTCAAGCAACAAAACGCTAGTGAAATCTAATAGAATTATTAATAATTATCATAAAATGTACAAGACTGAGACTTAAAATGAAGTAAGTCCCAGATTTTATTAAAATTAATATTAAACACGTAAACTCTAAATAAAAAATGAAGCTGCATAGTTGCTTTCAGCTATCCTTGTTTCCGATGGAATTACTGCTAATATACAAAGGCGGTCAATATAGTTTTGCCGTTCTCTGAAAAGTGCAACGATCGTTAAAAAACGGCAGTTTTTTTTCAAGAATTACTTTATTAATTATACAGACAAGAATCGCTTTACTAATTACAATGTATACAGCAGATATTGTTTTCGCTAGTTTTTACACAGAACTTACTATCCCCTGGAATTTGAACTCCTTTTTATAATTGATTTACATTCTTACTATAAAAGTAAATCTTATAAAGCAATAACGGATGTAAACAAAAAAATGAAAATTGTCGGAATCTGTTTGATTGGCCCTGTTCATGAACGGCATGCTATTGTTTTAACAACATCCCGCTTAGCACCGGCTAAAGTAAGATATTTGCAAATGGAACGGGAATTATTTTGAAGTTAAATCTGCAGACGTGGTAATCATGTAGCCTACAGTATATGTAGTTTGTGCCATCAAGCAAAAATCTGTGGTTCGTTCTAAAGTTTATATGACAACTGTGTCCTATACAATTAAGAAAGCAATGCTACAATAATAAAAAGATTTTAAAAAAGAATAAATTTGCTATGAAACGGGTTTTGTACAACATTCTACATGTATCTTTATCTACAGTCACCAATCACTCGATCTGGTAACTGAGTTTTGTACTATGTACGCAGTTTAAGCTTAAAAATAATAAGTGAATCATGTCATATGATAATAAAAACTCATGCTAATGCTAAAATTGACATTTGTTTTATCTCATGATCCATCAATGTATTTAGTAGTGTTTAAACTTGTGTATAAAGTTCTATTTAATAGAATAGAGAATACCTGTGCATGCATATATTATCATCAATATTACTGTTTAAGTACCATATGAGAAAGAGCATCGAAACACGAGGCTGTCTGATTTGTACGAGGGGGCGTAATCAGATTGCCGAGCCTTTTGATGTTCTTTCTCTTTTGTATCATAGTCAAACATAAAAACACGTTCCCTGTTGTCACAATATGAAATCCCAGAAAAAAGGAACCAACAAACAAGCATCTGAATATAATATTTCTTTCTCTGCCGTCATAATTTGTAAACCCCAGCAAAAATGAGCCAATCAATGGGCATGCTCTGGAGTGCGGGTAACTAATTCCTGCACTCCAGTTAACGCACTGTGCATGTATATGTATACGATTTAACTCTGTCACATTTCAACAGAAAGGTCCCCAAACTATTTTACAATGACATAAATACACATAATTGGTTCTTTCTGGTCTAATGGACCACTAATTATTGATTTCGATAATAACTACATAATACATGTTGTAGAGCTATCAATTAAAAGAACAGAATAGAACATGAATTTTATTTTTAGACTTGAACATTCCACTCCTCATTCATAGCATGATTATACATTACTGTGCCAAAGTCAAACAATATTATAATATATATACAACATTGAAAATAACAGTAACTGTTATACATATGACAAAAGAAGGTATAGAATATTTACCAGTGTCTTTAAACATGAAGTTCTTTGCGTACATGACAATAAATTGAGCATTATTTTTATTAAACATTTATTGCAGTAAATTATGCCTTTTTTAAAGCACAATTTAGGAATCAAACTAAGTCAGTCAACATTTTTTCATTACTGGTTGAAAGCAATTGAGTAAGTTTACACATAGATGGTCTTTCATAATAATATCTATCAATGTAACGTTTTCTTATAAGTTGGTAGCAGGGACACACGCATATCATATGGAATTGCATGATCCCCTATATCTCTAGAATTGAAAGAAGAAAGAAAATCAACGTTCCGCTATAAATCCGTCGCCCTACAAATATTAAGAGGATATTTTTTCGTTTGAGTGAAATATGGAATATATTTTCACGAAACATGATAAAATGCCACATATTTTCACGAGCCGGAACGGCGAGTGAAAATATGTGGCATTTTATCATGTTGAGTGAAAATATATACCATATTTCACGAAAACGAAAAAATAACCTTTTTATTTAATTTCATTATCAAAGAAAAATGGTTACGAACACCCTTGCTTCCTACGTAACTGCAATTGTACAGCGCGCAGTGATATAATTATTGTCTTGTTTTGCACGCGATATTTAGCGCTACATTGTGACGTCACGTAAACAACTCTAAAAACGTCTGTACAGCGTTAATGACTGAATTAAAGATATTGGTGTTCGGATTAATTTTCTTAGTTAGACCATTTTCTATCATTCTAGATGGTTTTCAAAACGAAATTCAACAAAAAGTTGTTTGTATTTATCAGATTTTTCAAACAAAATGGCGAAAGAAGTCCCTTAAAATAAATATGAGTTTTGACTCCGCCCACTTTCATATTTATATTTCATATTTATTTTCAAAAAATATGAAATATATTTGACTGATATAGCACCATATTTCATGGGTAAAATTAAATAAACATAGATATACGTACGTATGTGCACGTGTCCGTGTGTAGCCGTGAAATAAGAAATTACTTCTTACTTTTTTAAAGTAGATTTTGTACAATATAGATTTTTCAAAAATACATTATGAAATTGAATGTGTCTCAATACATGTTAAGCAACACTTGTATTAATTCCATTAAAGCGTGTAGGAATTATGAAATAAATATTTTTTTTCTCAATCAATTCAATGTTATTTCAAGGTCTTTCAAATAGAAATAAAAATTTGAAAGACCCTGGTTCTTTATGATGTATCAGTAATTGCAATGGAATTAAAAATATAGACTATAAATTTAAGACTACATCGACTGACCTAATTTTAGCTATTTTATATATTGAACTTGAGAGAGACAATAAATCTTCCAAGAGTTTTGTCGAGTGTATATTTTCACGGACTTTAATTCATTCACAAGTCAATAAAAGTCAGTGATATTATTATAATAAACATACGAGCATAATATACGTTCCTGGTTTTGTGTATGCCTATAAGGGTTTCAGTTACATTTAATCGATTGCACTATAGTCATACATAGCACACAATCATTGAAAAATCATTCTTTAAAACAATATAATGTACAAATTATCTTCTAATTAACATATAAAAAAGCTAAAGACTACTAAAGTCAAGTGGATGATTTTTAGTTAATGCGGTTTATTTCGAAATGCACTTTATCAATTATGATAATGTAAATGAACACTGAACGTATGATAAATGTAAAGAATAAACATTTACCACAAGTGTCTTCATGGTACAGCATGCGGTGGTTCTTTCTTGTACGGAACGTTACGTTGTCAACGGAGCATAGCTAAAAAGTGGGGAATACCCGTGTTTTTCCTTTATATTTGACTGGTTTCCGGTTTGCATCAATTTACAAGGAAAATTAAGTGTAAAAACGGTAACCAGAAAAAAGATGTGGGATTTCCATTTTTCGGATAGTTCGCTTAACCCCATATAAAAGGGCTTTTTGGTAAACAATTACATATTGTACACGTGTGAATTTCAAAAATTATAATTCATATCGTTATTTATTTTAAGTCTTTATGCCAGAAAATCATTCTTTCGGTAAAATATTGAAAAAACACAGCCACAGGTAAATTTGGAGGCATGAGTTATCATTTCATTTATCAGTGTTTATCTGTTTATTTAACAGAGTATGATCATTTTTAGTCCCAAGTCACTTTTATACAAGACTTGTGTATAAATAAGAGCTTCATCCCCAAAAGTATTTGTTTTTGTACATGTATATAACTTTATGTAATACGATTTGAAGTCTATATTTAGCAGTTGTTGACATTGACGGACACACCTCTAAATATTTAATGCTGTACTAGGGACCAGGCTATACTGACACATTATTGATATCATAAATTATAAGTATTATATTGATGACTTACTGGGCAGATATGGCTCACTATCCATAGTTTAATTAATGATAATTATGACTAATTTACTTATATACACAAAATCTCTGATATTGGAAGTCACACTATATAGGTAAAGAAGGAAAAGTATTAGATTTTGGAAGTCACAAGCCAAAATCAGGGAGTAAATGACTCCCAAACTTCCATTAATGGAAGCCCTGTTAAATAAATAAATTTAATCTAAAAAGCATTAATTTCTCTAAACCTTGGAATCCCACTTACACATTTTAGCCAGTCACCAGGCGTGTTTAAGCAAATACATGCATGATAAGACCACCCTTGTAGATAGGCCGAGTGATGATCACATGGTGGTTTATTTAAGATGATTTAATCATTTATAAATAAGTATGTTGAAAGAACTTTTTATGTGCATAATACAGTTGTATACTGTACCGGGTATACAAATTACAAATGTAAAGGATTGAATTTTAGGTTACTAAGACTGTTATTATGATAAGTTTAAACACTTGTGAAATTCAAATAAACAACGGTAGATCTATATGTTTATTTTAAAATTACCAATAACTGTTTAATAATTGACTTACTAGACACACGATGTTTTAAGTTTTAATTGAACGTTAAGGACTTAGGTTCGAATCAAAATATTTTTTTATATTTACTTTAATAATTCTTTATTTTATTCTGCTGAATTTGACCACAATGTTTTAGCCTAAAACATTACTTATTAATGTGTGTAATTTTATAATTAAATTACAGGAACTAACAAAAACCACTTGGAAATTAATGACTCTCTGGTCAATATTGCCAAACAATAACAAGTATCTACTAGAGAATTACTGTCAGATTGGGTCCGAATAATTCTGTTTTGGGATTTCTTACCTACTCTTGTTTCATGTTTAAAATAAACATATTTAAAAAGAAATATCTACCATCTGTTGTCTTGTTAGAGACCAGAAGCAAAACTTTTGTTTTCTTGGCCTCATGACCAAAGTAGGTCTTAAACCTTTTTATACCTCTTACTTGAGAAATTTATAGACATCTAACCCTCAGTCACTAGCCCATCTTAATCTCTATGATTAAAAAAAAAAAACCTTCCCAACTAGAAGAGGCCTCTAATACAAGATGAGGATGCAGATAAAAAAATGATTGTGCATGGTAAATGTTTAAATGGCATTCACCTTTTTTTTTTTTTTTTTTTTTTGATAAACAATTCTGTGTTGTTTCAAACTTAGTGTTTCAGCAATTTGATTTTTAAAAAGTGCATCATATCATTCTTTGGCCTTCTTCAAAACAGCGTCCAGAGAGTTATTTATAGAGTGCCAGTGACGTTCGTTTCTAGAAATAGAAGATCGGGAAACAAATCATCCACTTGACTTATTTACATATAGAGAACAGTATAGAAGATTAGAGATATTGAGGGGTTTTCTTATTGTTTACATATGTTATTGATGGCAAATTTAATTTTGCACCTTAATTCTTTTGAGTTGACAATTATATGGAATGGTTTCTCAAAAAATAATATATCTAACAAAGGCTGCTTTAAGACATTTTGCAAAGATTGCACATCAACATAAATTTTTAAGACTAAAAATGGCTTAGAGCTTTTAGAATTTTTAGAAAAGTCTGCTCCTACTCTGCATCATTTAAGAATATTTCCAGTGACTAACTATTAACTTGATACTAAGATCATTTAGATATTTGATATTATCATATAACAATTAAATATTTATTGTTATACCTTTCAGGTAATGGATTATTTATATTGCTATGGACAGTTATAATGACGATATTGAATTGTTGAAACAGTCACCAGACGAGAATAGGGAAGATAGTACAACTAGTCAGCTAGACTCTAGTTTAAACCCATTAGATGTCATAAAACGAGCGAGATATTCTGACGAAAGCTTTGATCAGGCTCCGATACATGCTCTTCAAACAGCTTTTACTTCCTTACAGAAAATACATAATGATGAGGTGAAAAAGAATAAGAAATTGGTAAGGGAGAATCAGTCAATGAAAAAAGCTCTGATGGATGCAACTCAGGGGAACCAGCCGAGATATGAGAATCAGGATATGTATGATACCCAGGTTGCTCACGCAGCAGGGGGAACCAGTGAGGATGAATCCCTGGCTGAAAATAGAGCTAGACAGGGACATGTTAATCATTTAGAAAGAGAACTTTTGATTACCACAAATGCTGTACAGAAAGGAAATGAAGAAATCTTAAGACTTAAAAACAGCAATGAAATGTTAGAAGAGAAAATAGTAAAATTACTTAGAAACAATGAAGAATTCCGCTCAGATAATGAAGAAATGTCTGAAGCATTAAAAAATTTGAATATCGAGGTCAGCAGAAAGACTTTAGAAATTGAACAAATGAAAAATGCCCTGCAGTCAGAACAAGAACTTAACCACAACTTGAAACTTAAACTTGAATCATCGCAAGAACAGTATGATAACTTGCAAAGAACTGGGTATTCTGGTCAAAGTGAAGTACAGAATTTAAAATTAAAGTTAACCCAACTTGAAAATGACTTAAGAAAGTCCTACTCAGCTTCACAATTTCGGGAACTTGAACGAAAGTTAAAAGAATCAGAAGAGAGTAAAGGTATATTGGAAGCTAAATGTAAACAGTTAGAAATAGAATGTAATATAAGGAGTGAACAGAGACAACAAGAAGATAGTGATGATGTTGATGGGGATGTAGAAACATTAAAAAGAGCTCTAGAAATTCTTTATGTACAACAAAAAGAGGTTAAAGAACTTAAAAGAAAAATCGAAGAGCAACATGAAATTATTATACAGATACAAAGCACAGGTTTGTTAAAATTATTTAGAGGATTGTTTTATTTACTTTTTTTGCCTATATCAAATTCAAACCAAAGTTTGACAGGGGCGTATAATGAAGGTTTGTGGTCAGCTTGACTATTAATCTGCTGCAATATTCATTTTACAAAGTAGATTGGAAAAAAGCATGAAAAATTCACTTGAATATTTGGATATACATAGTTGGGAACGAGGGGAAATTATGTAAGAACTACACTATAACTCCTCCAAATTCAATTTCAAATGATCCAAAGGCTTTTAATATGATTAATACAAATTGGGAAAAAACAGAATATACTCTATACATCAAATAAGACAAAGAAATCAAATATTTTGTTAAATATTAAACACCTTTTTATACTTCTTTCATAAGCACAATAATTTGTTCAATTAGGAATGCAATATTACAATTTTCTATGGCACAGTGCATTTAAATGTAACAAAATGACTTATTTTCTTTTTGGTTCTTTTAATTGGGAATTTTCTGCTTTAAATTGGGGAAAATGAAACACATACTTGTGGGCATTGGGAACATGAATCAATATCACTCATCAAAATGGGCCAGGAAAAAAACCTAAAACTGATTTACCTAGGTATGTGTCAGTTTTGTTTTCCCAAGAGTATACTTTAAAAACATTTTAGCCTAAGAGAATAACTTTAACCTTAAAATTCAGACAGCTTCCTTTGATTTTAAGATCAATCCTTGAACAAAAATTATGATTGAAATGTAAAATAAATTTACTTGATAGTTTACATAGAGATAAACGACAACAATGAACAAAATTGCAGTGACTGAGAACTATAACTCTGTCATTGTACCATTTTAGTTATCTCCCTTCATTACATTTTAACTTAAAATTATTTGGGATATAAGTCAAAAACTGATTATGAAATAGATTTACTTGAATCTTAAAATGTTAATAAATGTAATTGTAAATCGAGGGAAATGCAGTGTTCAGCATTTATATATTTTGTTCTACAGATTACTAATTTAACATACACATGCATATAGATTTTTATCTACGATATTTGAAATACTTCCAATCTGCTTTATCCGAAGTCAAAGTATTTTTGTCCGAGGTCAAGGGTGATATTTTGATACGCAGGCTAAATACAGCATTGAAATTGATAATGCACATGGGTCGTCTATCCCTCAATAATGCTTACTGGTTGTACTTGCCCCATACTGTGTACGATACTGTTGGCTGATTTACATTCAGCTTGGACAAGTCAATTCAAATGATTTATTATAGGAATATATTATTAAATTAAAAATATCGTTTTGAGTTTGATACTTATTTTAATAGGAAAATGGCATATATATTCTCATATAGATTACAAACTTTAAAAAAAAATAATTTTACATGAAAATTAATATTAAATATATAGAATTCATAGGTGTAAAATATTTTGTAAGAGTTATATCTTTTTATGATATAATCATTTGAACATACAAGATTTGTTTGAATGTTTCAGGTAAAAAACACCAAGGAAAGTCACTTGATGTGTCTACAATTCGACCAGAAGCTCAAGGGTCTTCTTTTAATCCTTATCAGGAACACGTATATGAGAATCATTCTGATTTACATCAAAATTCACAATTTGTTCATTCTCAGTTGTCGAGACGGCAAAGTGATAAGGGAGACTATAGGAGCCAAAGAAGTCAAGGGCCGAAAACAAGTCCTAGAGTTGAAGATAAATTACGACCTACTGGACAATTAGCACACATGGTTGCCATGGAATCAAACATGGACCGTAAACGAATGGAATCAGCCGGAGCTTTCGAGTCATCAACAAGTCCTAATAGAAACAGAAGTCCTGGTGAAAATGTACATGATTCAAGGTTTAATAATAATATAGGATCTAAAGGTTCCGATAACATGTTTGTAAGATCTTTAGTTCCAGTCAGTCAGCCGACATTTGCTCAACAAAATGTAAGAAGTTCCGTTAGTCCAAGAAATGGAAATGGTCATGAAGCTTACACTACAAGATTCACGGAATCTCCTTGTATAAGTAATGCCCCTAGTGTTTCAAATAATCAAGTATTCTTACAGTCAAATTCGCAAGAAACAGCTTATGTTCAAGCCGGAGCCAGACCAAGAGTTTCGACAAAGTTAACAGCTACCGGTTATGCAAATCACTTTGAAAGTCAAGAATTTCCATTAGATGAAAGACTGAAACCACAACAGAAAATTCCTGATAGAATGACTCAGTCGGAAATTATAGTAAAAAATAGACCAGGGTTAGATAATAATCAAATGACCCGATCAGTCTTTGACCCCTTGCGAACCCTTGAAATACCCCAAACAACTAGTAATAGGCAAAATGAGTTTGTACAAGGGGAAACCTCCGCAGTTAGACAAAATATACTATATGCAAGTGAGCACGCTTATCAGAATGACTATAGAGAACATTATGATATTGGACCTGATTATGAAAATATTTATAACGCAAATGCACAAACTGAAACGAAACGTCCAATAGAGGAGCATGAAGATACTGTGTTTACGACAGCCAATGAGCGTGGCTTTAACATTATTACCAACCCAGTACAAGAGGAAACAGGTGACACTAATGTGGCGGCAGTTAAAATATGCCCAGTTTGTAACGAGGAATGTTCGCGTTTGACCTTAGACCAGTTTCAGATGCACGTAGTTGAATGTTTTGATAATAATGATGAATCGCCTGCGACTCTCCAGCCAGCAGCTAGCGGGAAACATCAAGAGGAAGATAGAACTTGCCCTATGTGTGAAGCCGTGTTCCCTGTAACAATACCGCAGGAATCTTACGAGCAGCACGTCCTCGCACACTTCGGGGAGGATCCTCATTTAGGAAGATTTGAAATGTTGCAATAGTTCAAGCTTTTTGTTGAATGATTTTCTTATTAGTTTAATATCTTTTAGTTCATTTAACATAATTTATTATATAACTTGATGTTGATTTTCTTTGCTAGCAATTTAAATAATTAACTAATTCTAGGCAAAACTGTTTTACCATAAAATACAATTTATTGACTATTTTATAAAAGTTTTGCATTATTATAATAATTATTTACGAGTCTAGTAATGATCTCTTGAAAAAAAATTGACCAATTGCAGACAAGGTCATTTAATTAGTGAAAATATTCAATGTCCCAGATATGTCGCCTGACATTAGATGTAAAAGCAGTGTTAACATGTTAAGGAAACTTTAAATATTGTTCATATTATATGAAATGTATCTTGTACATAAACATGGATTTTATTTGTGTTACAAGATTTGTGAAAAGAAAATTTTGTGTTATATTTGTGGAAAGTGATTTTAAGTGTTTGTCCAAAATTCTTTGTCTAATCAGTATTTCAGAAAGATTGAAATTTTAAAATTTATATTTAATTCAAATCAATACTATTAATGTAATTTAGTGTGATGCTTTGTGCCTTTTACTGAAAAGAGTGTTAAATTATTTTGTTTTTTTACATGGCCATCTGCCTATAGATTTGATTGTGTGTTTTACAATTATGCTTGTGTTAAAACATTGTAACATAACCAAAATTAGGAAAGGTAGGGGTTGATATGTTTGGGAAATTTTTTAAGACAGGAGGGGAATTTGAGTAATGATACCATATTTATGATACGAGGTACATTAATTAACTGCAGTTGTAAGAACCACTCGTGTTAAAGGAAGGATGTATAAAATAAATGTTAACTATGAAAAGTTTTTATAACTTAAGTATTTATTCAGGAAGTATTGAACATGTACTAGTATGATATTTAAACTCAGGTGTTGGTTTTACAAGGGATTGTTAAACAAATATATTGTGTATATTAAAGGGACTTCGCTGAGCTTTAATAAAAATGACGGGACTAGAAATAATTTTTCGAGATTAATGCTCAAATTGATGCCGATCTAGACCAATTACTTGTGTGCATATGACTGATTGTTCGCTCAATCCATTTTTTGAGAAAAAATATTCTTATTGTGTAAAATGACCGAAGAACAGCGCAATATACAATTTTCAATTTACTCCAAGTATGTTTGTTTATTATCTTTTGCATAATTATTTCTATTTTTAGTGACCCAACCTACATCTATGTAGGAAATTCAAGTTTTATGTTTTATAGCTTTAGGACCTCAGTGGAGTTCCTTTAAAAGTATAATAACCATCATTAAATGTACATAATATACATGTATATATATATTATGCAAAATGATACCATTTTAATTGAAATAGAAGACTTATACTATTGTGGTAGATATACATTGTCAAGGACAATACTGATTTTTATAGGACTAGTTCAAAGCTGTAAAACCTACATTGGACAAGACCTAGTATTGTTTACTATTATGTTATACATACAACTTTAAGCACTGTCACATCATTTTGTTTTGAGTGCAATTTTACTGAAAAGGCTTTACAATTGGCTTTGAGCTTATTGTTTTTATTTATTTTATTTTAAATTTGGTTTTCTCAGAGGTTTTGTTTCCACAATTCTATCCTTCACTATACATGTATTGCAATTTTTCAATGTTGGCATTTTAGCAGGGACTATAACTCTGTGATCTTTTCAGAAATACTATATAAAAATAACTTGATAGTCATGAATATTGCAATTCAAGATAAAGGTTTGAACCTGGTCTAGTTTAGGATTAGTGATTTATAGATCCTGATCAACAATGTTAATCTTTTATTATATTTATATATATTAATTAATAAATCATACTTGTATATATATCTTAAAACGTTGTGCCTGCAAATTGTTGCAAAAATTTCAGTCTTATTGTTAAGAAACACAGGCATGTTAGAATCACTAAAATAACAGTGTAATCTGAGCATATTTGTTTAAATTGTAATTTGTTTAGTAGGAATAATAAATTTTCAATGGCAAGAGCTTGCTTTATTACTTTGAATTTTTAGCTCAACTGACCACAAAATTCTGATGGTGAGATATCGTGACCGAGTTGTGTCCTTTGTCCTTAGCGCTTTGTGCTCCATCAACTTTTGTTTCAAACATCATAGCTTCCTAAACCATTATGTGTCAATAAAAACTAAGCAGACTTGTCTTTAATAGTGATAAAACAATATTTTTATTTCATCACAATATCCCTCTGTTTATATTATTATTTAAGTGTTTTATAACTCAATCAGTGCCTCAGGTGACCTATAAAGGTCATTATCTTCTTAATATCATTGTAGTGAAATAATAAACACTTACAATGTTACTACTATCTGAAGGCATAGTCCTACGTTTATGGTACAGTCATATTTTTAAAAATCTGGAAAAGGGGTGATATAATACTGCATGTTTGTAACAATGATTTTCATTGGACAGATTTATGAACTGTCCTCAGTTTTGAATCAAAGAAAAAGATTTTGCAGTATTATGAATTTAATATGAATAGATTTTTCTTATACATGTTATATGGCCAAATGGTTGTTTGCAATATAACCATTGTCTTGCAACTGAGGTGATATAAGCTCACAATTGTTAACACCGGGCCATGTGTCAAAAAATTGAATAACTGGGTCACTGTTCTGTCCTCGGGGTGAGGTAAAATTTCTCTGTGACAAATGATATCCCAGAAATAGTCTACTGGTCTTTTGTCTCTCACAACTGATTCAGAAATCATGTTTGAATAGTGTGTGGTCACTCCTGAAAGAACTGCAAATTACTGGTTAGTTATCCAGGTAGGGCGGTTAGTTCACCAGCCACTAAGATATGACAAAAAACGTTACTGTTAAAATATTGAAGTCAAAACAAAACAAATACATGTTACCTAAAGACATGTTCGTGTATTATTTTGTTACAGCCACATTTATGTATCATTTCATAAATCAAGGAAGCAGTGAAACACTGAATTTGATATGTTTTAATGAAGTTTATTGCCTTAAAATGCAGCCTATATTAGGCATATACTTTACATATGTTGTAGATATTTTAATGGAAATGATTTCAGAGAATAAAACATGATATGGTATGAATAAAGAATCTTGCAAAAATTATGTTGTTATTATATGTAGTACTTATTTAATCATTCATATACATGTATTTTTAATATGAAACGACTGTGATCATGCAGGGTAATCAGTATTTTACTATTAAAATCATATGACAAATCTTCATATAAACACAGAAGCTCCACTGAGGTCCCAAAGCCTAATAGCAAAAAGTTTGAAAAACTAACTGTAGTGTTCTAAATAGAACCAGACCATTAAAGATATTGTTTGTTTTTACACAGAATTCTAGCTTTTAATGTTTACTGTACAAGTGTATTATAAGAACTAACTACAAGTATCAGAGAGGCAGAGCATGCATTATACATAGGAGGCGGGGCTTATCATATCTGACAAAGTAGTGTAACTGTCCATGTTTGCAAATAAATGTGAAAAGAAACATTTTTACACTTTTCAAACATTCTTAGGGCTATTCCAGTTACATGGACTGAACTGTTTCATTATAATAGCCCACAAAACACACACCATATTAATGTTAAGAAAGGAAAGAAAAATAAGCAGTAACTTACATAATTTATGCAAACTAGTGGCAATTCAATTCATAGACAGTACTGAAATATATAATTATGATACTTATGTTTTTGTAACCATGTTTATTATGTAAGTTTAATAGAGTAAATATTAAAGACATTTTTGAATTATGGTTCTTTTTTCCATTATCTTGTCTGAACAAAATAGAGAGAAAAAAAAATAGAAACTTTAAAAAATGTCCATCATGGTAAAACTGAAAATGTTGCAAGCTTGGTTTGATTAAACGTTAGTCACACATAGATATATGCAAGCTTCAGTCCTTAACACCTAGATTCTGTTAAGATTCATCTGTATTATATCTTTTTTCCAACAGAAATACAAATGATTTGAAATAAACATATTTCATTTTCTATAGCAATATTTGACACACTAGTTTCTTTAAATTATGAAAATACATGTATAAGAAAGATTTAAGAGTAATACACAAGGAAAGGTTTTGAAATAATTTACTTCAGTCTTCTACGAGTAGTTTTGACTGTCATCAGAAAATTATGATAGAATTTTTAATACTCATGGGTGAAAGTTTTCGAGGTTATTCCTGAAGTTTAGGATTTTCAGTCTCCTGAAAGCCTTCTATTTTCTATGTAAAACTATAGAAAAACTGCTCAATGATTTTTAAAATTTCCAACTTTCACCCATGAATACTTTATGAATGCCTGTAAATACTTTTGTATATCTTTTCTTTTCTTTTTTTTTAAAATGGGCGTCTTGAAATTCGAGACATTTTATTTCAATTCATGAATTATCAAATGCAATTTCATTACATTTTTCTTCACACTATTCAGTTTGTAAAATACTATATTTGGCTTTAATTCCAATAATTTGTCTAATTATATACTTAGTACGGAAGATCTCGAGGTTTTGACGGAGATTATATCTTAATTATGTACTTTTGTACGCTGACACCATGTCAGCATGTCAATTGAGGACTTCATTGAAATCCTAATCTAATTATCAACTTACCATTGACTCCATGTCATTTTTTTTGTCCAAGGACTTCTAAGAAAGGAAACAAAAATGTGTAATTGGAAAATTGCTAACAATATACCACATAATTGTAGTTAAATTGGTATATTTAAATGGAAGTCACGTATTTATTTCCATTTTATAAAACATCGTATAAAAATAATATATCTTTGAACTAGATCATTAAAAATACTATTTACAGAGGATGTAAAAATGTCAAGTGTTTGTTTTAAATCTACGTAAAAAATTTCCGTAATTTCTTTAGTTAAACTTTGCAATGCTCAATTAATATCTTAAATTGCTTTGTCCAACTTTCAATCTCAACAAAAACCATTCATCTAGTTAGCGAAAATTAAAAATTATAAAGTGACTGAAGAGTAAACAGTACAGGTTTCCACCAGCAGATTATGGGTTAATCTAAGGGTTACATAAAAGGAATCAGTGTTTCATTTATTGCAAGTCTTATACATTGTAACTCAATATGACTTGCGAGCACAATTATCTGTAAATTGTGATCACTTAATACATGATTTATAGCATGCTTATGTAATAAAATTTGACGTATTATTTATGCCCCTGGAGGGCCGGCAAAATCAATTGTCCATATTGCCAAGGAAGCCCCACAACCTGCAACCGGGATATAAATCAACTCCAGGACAGATACCTTATTTTCGGGCCTATCCCAGACGTCCGGGACGTTATAGCATGTATGACTGTAAGGACAAGTAGAAATTTTCAGGAATTAACAATGTAAATATCATACAGACAAGATGCTTCAGATAAAAACAGACAATCAAAGTCAGATTGTGCCAATCCTGTGCCCCTGTCATTAATTCAGCTTAAAAATGTACTTTTAAAGTTCTGAAAATACAAAATTGTGTTATTGATATACATTTAAGCATTTGTTAAAAAATGTAGTATTATCCATATATTATTGTAAGAAAGTAACTAACAATAACAAAAGAGGCTTTGTGTTTTTTTATCTGTACAGAAGTAAGATAGTATAAGATTTAGGAAGGATATTCCAATGCTGTTAAAAACCAGGTTTGATCATAAACCACCCATAAGTTACAGTAGTTGTTGACGAATCAAGAGTAGTTTTCTCAATATGTATCTACACTGTCCAAATAAATGGCAGAAAGCAGAACTTTCAAATTTGAGAAACAACAATCCGAGAAAATATAAAAAATATTGAATGCATGTAAGTTCAATACTGAATTTGAACTCGTTGAATAAAATTATATCATGCGAGCCTCTGGCAAGCATGATATTATTTTATTCAATGGGTTCAATAAATTCAGTAATAAACTTACACGATTCTATTCTATTTATCACATACCGAAAATAAAGACCGTTTAAAGTGAAAAAGCGTTATTTTTTATTGACGCAACTATAATACAACGCTAATATTTAGTGAGTCTTAACGCTACCGTATGTTTATAATATGATGAAATGATGTCTTGTCAAAATATATGCACAGCTGTGCATTTCAATTTTTACGGAGTGGCAAAAGTGGCACGGGTATGTGATAAAATACTTTATTGGTTTTACGAAATGAGGTTATATATTTATCAGTTTCCTTTTAATTGCTTTATTGTTCATAAACAGTTAAAAAGAATCTTATAGAAGACCATCCAAATGGTACTGAAGTAAAAATGTAGAATATTTCCATGCATGGATCCAGATGTGAGGGGGGGGGGGGGGGTTCCCATATATTTGCCCCTAGAAAGGATTGTAGTTTTCTCTTTCAGTTTGTTAATGTTTTGGGTTTTACCTCACATCGACACAGTATAGCTCATATTGCGACGTTCCAGCTTTTATACTGGTGGAGGAAGACCTCAGGTGCCCTTCTGTGCATTATTTCAGGCACGAACGGGCACCTGAGTAAAACCACCGACGTTCCGTAAGCTAGCTGGATAGCTTCCTCACATGAAAGAATCCAAAGTCACTGCCGGGATTCGAACCCACAGCGGTGAGGGGCAAGTGATTTGAAGACAACGACCTAAACCAATCAGCCACGGACGCCCCATCCCGTTCAGTGGTTCTAAAGATACATGTACTTATATTACTGTAGCTGCAACACAGAAATCTCAGCAAAACACCTGGTCATGTGAATTGAACCAGACTTGCAGTCCACACATTATATTAAATTATCATTCTCATATTTTTTTTTTTTCATTTTATTGCATTTTAAATAAAGCGGTCCGCTCTATCCACAAATGCACTCAAATGACCTTTATGATCTTCTTAAAGGACATGAACATTAAAACAGGAAGAACTTAAATTTTAAAGTGTTTAATTACTATTCTGTGAAATCATCTCATTTGCCTAGTACTTAGAAAATATGATGCATTCAGGAAAGATATGTCATCAAAATGATTCAGTACGTAGTTTTCATACTGGTAAGTAAATAAATACATGTACTTGTACATTAAAATGTGTCATATAAAATTATCATTTATCTCAAGTACATCATAAATAGCTTAAAGCAAGTACATATAAGGCAACCCAGATCCAGAATTTTTTTTCCGAGAGGGGACCCCCCCCCTTATTGAGATAACCGTCCTGCTTGATAATATTAAAATAATCAACTTAACTTGATTTGGCAAGAAAGATATGAAATGCACTTTTAGTTTCTCGAATAATTATTAGCAAATGGTATGCATGGTCATATAAACACTTAAAGAGAAACCTCAACTTATACTTAATAACTTTATACACTCTATTTAGGAGTGTGTAAAGATTTGAAATAAAAGTTTTACTATCTCTGTGACGAATGAGACATTTATACGACTTCTTTTAAAATAAAAATTAAGAACATAAATAACCATCAGTGGTTTTTCTCACTTAAATGATCTTGACTGTCGGAAAAATATTGTTAAAATTGCTCATTTTGGCAGTAAAAACCTGGTGTAAGTTCGGATTTTTGGGAAAACTGCATGATTTTAAAAGAAATTTCTGTTAAATAAGGTGAAAAATCACTGACAACATTGTCCAAATAACCTTAGTTCTAGAAAACAATAAAAAAAAAAAACAAGGTCTTATGTTACATGTATATACATGTTTGTTTAATAAATATATAAAATAAACAAAAATCATAAAGTTATCTATGGCAGTAAAACATTTCATGAAAAGTGTAAAACAAAAAACACCAATCTTGTGACTGAAATATGAATGAGTATGGTCCGAATGGCTCTATTTTAAAACAGTGATTTTGAAAATATACACATACATTGTATATATCTATATATATATAAATATCATGTTTTAGACTGTATATAAATATATTCAATAAAATACTAATATCAATATAGACTGGTCATGTAATAAAACAGACCCTGTATGAGGATTTGATAATTATGCAACTCTATGAACCTGGCTTTATTATACTCTGCCCTTGGCCTGGGTGAATATCACATTAGACATGTCCAAATACTAAGATATTTATGACATTATCTTACAAGGAACCGTCATAATGTCATAATTATTTTATACTTTTTATGTAATGAATAAACACCTTTATTTTCGATTGTTTGATTAAGTCTTAATTTTTGAGTGTTATAAATTTATACATGTATAATCATTTCATAACATAATCAGAAAATGCTATTGATAATTTGTAGACTGACCTTAAACATTTAAAAAATAAACAGAAAAAAAATAGATCAAAAATATTGTTTTAGTAAAACTCCATTTTTATTTGGGGCAGAAATATGCCCAATACATGAAGCTGCTAATTTTTATTCAAGAAAGGTCTGTGGTTGTACTACAGGAGCCCACATGAGTCTGAAATAATGCAAAGAGGGGGGCACCCAATGTCTTCCTCCATCAGTAAAGTTTGAGTCATAATCTGAACATAATGTGTATATAACTAAATTGGACTGTTCAAACCTTATAAATACCTCATACAGAATCTTAATTTACAAGAGCTAACAAAGAAATATATTTAAGCACCAATGAACATCACCAAACATAATAATGAACATATATGTTGAGTATTATGATACAAGTATAACAAGTGAAAAGAAGCAAAAATCACTTCTTAATTAAATAAAACTCTATATAAAACATATAAATACATATATACCAGTAAAGTGTCTTCACAACGATTCTTGAATTTTAAATAATCCATTCAAAGTTTAAGGGATTTCAAAATAAAATAACTTAGCAGCCAACAGTATAGAGGCTAGTCAGACTACACAGATGTACAGGCTGGTCTGGTTCTATACTGGAGGCAAAGGCTAAATAATCACATAAGGTTATAATTTAGATTTTGTTATTTTTGTTGCTGTCTATAACAAACGTCTGTCCAGACAATGTAGAATCTCTGTTCCATACCAGACTGGTCACCATATCTGATAACTTCTTGTAGTCTGCTATATTCTGTAATTAAAATATACAAAATTTACAGCAATATAAACAATTTTCTGTAACACAAAATGACCATGTGAGATTTTGCTTTTTAAATTTTAAGAAAAGTTAAAGGGTTCAGTAACCCTTTTCAAAAGAAATAAATATGTACAAAACTATGTGCTATATCTGTAATATGAAGATTAAAAAATTCACAGAAAATCAATAATTCTTTTAAACAAAAAGAAGTTTTCACAAAGTTAGCAATATATCAATAGAATTTTTTAAACTTAATAACATTATTATTTAACATATTTTAAAATGCTCATATAACAGTATATCTAATAAGATTTAAGAATGATTTCATGACATTAGCTGTTCAATATATAAAAATATTGACACAATATTTTCTGTCAATGAAAATAGAAAAGCAAAAAATTGTCATTTCTAATATAAAACTAATAAAAATGTTATTTCACAATTAAGTCTGTAACTTGAATATACTTACAAAATTCAATATTCCAAAACTGAGAGAATCTGGGAAGTTTTCTGTCATATCATGGATTGTCCTCATATATTCAAAAGTATCTTCATTGTTTAACTTTTTTCCATTATAAACATGAATAATACATGGCTTTAATAGAGTTTCCAAGGTTACTTTTGTGTCTATAGATGGTTTGAGAACACGTTGGGTATTTTCTGATATTGCACTTTTGGTAATTTGTGAGTATATGATCACAGCACTGTTACAACTGACTGATCCTGAACTCTCATTTTCCTGAAACATAAATCAAGTTTGTTATTCTTCATCAGGTTTGATTGATTAATTTTGAAGAAGATAATAAAATCATAGGTACCATTGACAAAATCTCTGTTGATACATATGTAGTTGCTTTTTCATCTAAGGAAAAGAACTCTATCAAAATTTGACAATTTTTTCTTCAAAAGAGTTACTGCCCTTGATAACAGAAATGATCATCCAATATTTCTAACAAAAAACGTGAAAAATACAAAAAAACAAAAACAAAAAAAAAACAAAGTCATGTGCACATTCTTTTTCTTATATAATAAAATCTATCTACAAAATCAGCAGAAGAATACACGATAATTTATAAACAGTACATTTCAATAGGAACAGGGCAAATGGTTTAACACATATTACTGTTTGCACAACTATATTAACATTTTCACCGTGGGTGGGGGGGATAGGGGATCCATGGGGAGGGGGGTAAACAAATTTTGTAAAACATCATCCAATGAGTAATTTTAGACAGGACATAAAACTGTAGCCAGCTTTCATGATCTGCATGTAGTGTTTTCAATATCAAATCCAAAATAAATAATTTATTCAGTTTTCTATAACTTGTTAACACACATAATTTCCTGTTTGGAAAGACAACTTTACTGTATAGTGCTATAAGCCATTTTATACACCATTCTTATTCAAAGTCTTAACTGGTGTAAAATTACTTGCTAACGCGTACACATGGACTTACCTTCACAACAAGCATCTTATTCCTAAATTGTGACAACACAGCATTCAGCATATCTTGATCCTCCGGGCATGATGAAAATATAACTTGAACTGATATATTCTGTTCTGAAACAATAAATATGCGTCTTTTAAAGGGTCGTGCCTGTAAAATTATCAATTTCAAACAAATATATAGACAAAAATTACTACTAAGTATTTACCTTTTCACTACCAGAACTTTAAATTTAATAATAAAATTACAATTTGCATGTTTTTGCCAAAGAAACTGTTCAACATGTTTTTGCTTCCATTTATATAAAATATATATTATACATGCATATAAATATTTCATAAATATACTTTACAGGTATATTTTAAATAGTCAGTTTCCTCCCCCCCCCCCCTCCCCCTCCCACACACACCTCCAAACACATTTTGGCCATATCTCAATGGTCAGTCCATCTAACCAACTTTCCTGGATAATAGCCAGTAATTACCAATTTCAATGCAAGTGACCGACTACTAATCTCACATGATTTCTGAATCAGGGTTTCCAGACAACTGTCCATTAGACTTAATGTTTGAGGTCAAATGTTACAGACAATTTTCGCCTCAGTCAAGGACCAAACCAGAAGGACCAGATTACAGATAACTTTAATTCCAGCAAATTTTATCAGATACAGATCAAACAAAAAATACCTTTCAAAATTGCTTCAGCTGCATATAAATCTTTTCTGTGTGTCACCTGTTATTAAAACCAGGAATATTGTCATATAATTATAAAACAGTAAGTATGATAATTATAATTAATATTTTATACAAAAATCTTTAAATAATATAATTTATCAAATTGATAAAGTATTTACTGTTCATATATTTAATTTCTTTATATTTTCAGAACCATTTGTTTGTTAGTACACATTACAGTCATATACTTTAAGAGATTTATGATTTGAAGAAATTAAAATTTGAATAATTGTAGTATGAGCTAAGTTTTCTGTCCCGCTACAGTAAGGTGTCAAATAATGGTATTATTAGCAAACATGTTTTTGTTTTTACTTAGGAGACCCTTGACTCAAAACATAAAATTATTGGCACATGTTAGCATAGCCATGCCTACATCATTAAATTTTAATACCAAAAATAAACTAGAACTGCCACTGTCATGGCTAAATACCCCCGCATACCACTTTGTCAGAATCAACAGTGGCCATTTAGAGCTCAAGGACAACCTCCCTGCCAAATCTGAGGTTACTTGAAGCCAGTGCATTGCTAAGTTATGTATTCTACATGCTTCAAATGTGAAAATGCCAAAATCAATACACTGCAGACAGGAGTTCTTAAGCATTTGAGCAGACAAACTTATAATAGTAAAAACCCCTGATACCTTGACCTTTGACACAGTCAACTAAAAATCTATAGGGGCCATCTACTAGACATAAACAACCTCAATACCAAATATGAAAACTGTGGGTCAAAGGTTTCTTAAGTAATTGGGCGGACAATTTATTGAAGTCAAAGTCCCTGTGATCTTGATCTTTGACCCAGTGACCTCAAAATCAATAGGGGTCATCTTCTAATCATGACTACCCTCCATGCCAAATATGAAGACTGTGGGTCAAAGGAATCTTAAGTTATTGGGCGGACAAGCTTTTTTTAATTAAGGCCCCTGTGACATTGACCTTTGACCCAGCAACCTCAAAATCATTAGGGGTCATCTACTAGTCATGACTAACCTCCATGCCAAATATAAAGACTGCGGGTCAAAGGAATCATAAGTTATTGGGCGGACAAGCTTTTTTTAGTCAAGGCCTCTGTGACCTTGACCTTTGACCCAGCAACCTCAAAATCAATAGGGGTCATCTTCTAGTCATGACTAACCTGCATGCCAAATATGAAGACCGTGGGTCAAAGGAATCTTAAGTTATTAGGTGGACAAGCTTTTTTTAGTCAAGGCCCCTGTGACCTTGACCTTTGACCCAGCAACCTCAAAATCAATAGGGGTCATCTACTAGTCATGACTAACCTCCATGCCAAATTTGAAGACTATGGGTCAAAGGAATCTTAAGTTATTGGGCGGACAAGCTTTTTTTAGTCAAGGCCCCTGTGACCTTGACCTTTGACCCAGTAACCTCAAAATCAATAGGGGTCATCTAATAGTCATGACTGACCTGCATGCCAATTATGAAGACTGTGGGTCAAAGGAATCTTAAGTTATTGGGCGGACAAGCTTTTTTTAGTCAAAGCCCCTGTGATGTTGACCTTTGAACCAATGACCTCAAAATCAATAGGGGTCATCTACTAGTCATGACTAACCTGCATGCCAAATATGAAGACTATGGGTCAAAGAAATCTTAAGTTACTGGTCGGACAAGCTTCTTTTAGTCAAGGCCCCTGTGACCTTTACCTTTGACCCAGTGACCTCAAAATCAATAGGAATCATCTACTAGTCATGGCTAACCTGCATGCCAAATATGAAGACTGTGGGTCAAAGGAATCTTAAGTTATTGGGCGGACAAGGAAAAACCGACAGACGGCCGGACGGACAAGCTGATTCCAGTATACCCCCCTTACAACTTCGTTGTGCGGGGGTATAAATATTACCTTGTCAGAATCTTATTTCAGTACAAAAAACTTTTACAAATATACAAGTACCTTCCATAAACTGTCTGGCCCTGTAAACAACTTGGCCCTGGTCCCTGTATACTTCATGGCAAGTAAAAGGCATTCTGTACCATAGTCAAAATCATTATCATCCGACTACATAGAAAAACAAATAAAAATATTTAGATACTATTAAATTTCTGTTACTATTTCTTTCTCTCTTTTTTTGTGACTATTTTTCCAAAGATGGGAGGAAAAAGTTTCATGGGTTTTCAGTTATGCAGACATTATATGACAACATTCCAGCTTTTATGGATGAAGGAAAACCTCAGGTACTCTCATTTGTGCTTTATCTGAGGCACACGCTGGCACCTATGTTAAAACACTGGCTTAAGGTTGAATGCACAAAAAACAACTTAAGTTTAACTTCTTAATTTTTCTGTATTTCTTTAAGGTCCATTATGCCTCAGACACGCTTTATTTATTTCCTAAGTGTTTATTTTTGGTGTACTTTAAAGGTTTCCATTTTGATACTCACTGGTCAAATACCCCAACCATCTTTTTCATCTATTCCTTTAAGGCAATTAGTACAGTTATACTGATTTGATATTTTGCATGGAAGCAAAATACTACTTTGTTAACATTTTGCTATTTTTATGACAAATGATTTCACATTTACCGATATTTTCTTCAGGTAGCAAAATGCTAACATGCTCTAAAACCCTTTAATACATGATTTAAAATTCATGTTCGTCCTTTCTAAAGAAGTAAATATTTATTCTTTTCTTAGGGATAATGGGCCTTTAAACACATATTATTTTGGTACTCTTGTCAAATCATGATACTAAATTATTTCACATTTAATACAATACCATTTCATAAGCTGTTTGAATAACGTTCAGTTGGAACCCCTGTGGCATCTCACTGGCACAATACTGACTCCTGTCTAGAGATTCCTTCAATAAACCATCATCATCAGCTGATATCACCGTGGAAACAAGGGGGCGTGTCACACCTGATGCCTAAAAGCAATGAACATTTTCTGTAAATTAAAATTATGAGATTCTACAACATATGTAGCATGTTTATATCATATATTGTGTAATGGTTATCTTAATTTTGCAAATTCAAAATAGCCTCTCACTTCTGTACCTATTTTGGGAAAAAATCATTGATAATGCTTATGTTAAAGTTCTTGAACAATACATGAATAGAAGTAAAAAAAAAAAAAATCTCAAACAATTTGTTAAATTATTTTATATCCTTTATTGTGACTAATGTAAATAAGGAGAATAGAAAAAACTATATTTTCTGACCTGATTAACTTATTTTGGTACACTTTGGTACTTGACAACATAATTTTTTCCCAATCTTATTGCTAGCTGTGACATTTCCCAAATTGAGGACAAAATCTCTGAACTTTGAACTAGTACGGGGATTTGAGGATCTTAACTTAAAAACTGTACTTGATTCAAACTCATTTTGTTCCATAATTATTGTGAATACATGTTTCAGAACAAGGTTTCTTGGTGCACAACAATTCATCTTTAGACACTTGGCAGATTACAGCATAAAATAGAAAAGGCAGGTGGTAGATTGTGACATTTAAAAGAAAGTACAAATGACAAAAATACATTATAGTAAAAAATTGCTGAAATCTTTGATGAATGGTTGAAAATTGAAAACATAAATTAGTGGATACAAAATGTGTACCTGAAGGACTTTTAGAAGAAGTTGATTTATTACAAAATTACATTTGTCCTTATTAAAATATAGCTGATATTACAATAATTCAATCTTTTTTATAGTGCATATCTTTCATATGTCAATAGAAATAGTTTAAATATTAAATGATCAAATTGCAGGAACATATTTAAAGAAGTTTGTTTGTTTTGTTGGATTTTAAGCCAAACCAAAACTTTTAAAGTAAAATGGTGGACTTTCCAGCTTTACTTGTGGACAAATATCTCAGGTTTCCTTAATTATTTCAGGTACAAGAGACACCTGTGTGTAACCACTGACTTGTTAACTACCTGGATAGATATATAAAAGAATTTGAAGTCCCTGATGGGATGAAAAAGCCCTCCTGTAAGCTATATAGTTAGAGCGTTGGACTGTTAATCCGGCGAGCTGGGTTTGATTCTTGGTCAGCGCAGGTCACTTTCGTTGTAATTGATCATAAAATCCTTTCTACCGTCATCCGCACTGTACCTCTGCTCTTGCATGTCCATAAGTGATCAGTTCCTTTCGAAAATGAAGGCAACTAGTACTGGTAAACTGCTTGACAGCCTGCCCAGAAACAATGCGGTGGCTGAACTGTGCTCTGGTAAATTCATTGTGGCTTTCTGCCATGATCCGGACTGAAAACTACCAACACCACCACCACCTGATGGGACTCAAAACCAAAGAGGTGAGGGGCAAGTGATTTATAGCCAGGGACTGGGCCATTAATTAGTTCAAACCTGAGACCCCCTTTACAAGTGGTCAACAAGGTAATCAAATAGACCACCAATCAATCATTACAAAAGGATAATAATCAGCTGTGACACTTAGTGAAAATAAAATACGCATCATTATTCCTACAAGTGTCACACAGGGTTAAAATATTTTTTGATCTTGTGCCATATTCTATAGATTTCCTATTCAACCAAACATCTATTTCTTTTATTGTTGTTGTATTCTTTCAAGTGTATTTTGAAAAGTCTTCGTAGATCCGGACTTCTTAACCGATTAAAATTCTTCAGAACAAATTTGGATTTGAGCAAATATTGCCCTTTTTAAGTGGCACTTTTGTTGCTTCTGAAGAAAATACATACAAACAACAGTCCTATACAATATTTCAATTCATTAATTGTGAACTGTTTTTAAAATGGCAAATTCATTTGAATAAAAGTCATAGCTTTTAATGTAATTCTACTGCCTGGTGTTAAAATTTTGGGATCTTGAAAATCAAACTGTATGAATAAATAAGTTTACCCCATATGTCTTAGCATAGCACACAATTTTCTTCACTACTGTTTCATCTATCAATGGTCTTACAGCATCATGGATGACAACCACACTGGATTTGTCTTCACCTACAGGTGAAAAAGAATACATTGGTACATTATATTATAATAAATACCTTCCAAGCCAAATATATGATAAAAATATATATCTTATATGAGACGTCCACATCCTTACACAGAACCATCACTTTCTATTAGTATGATTTCAACCTACATAAATCCCTAGGTTGAGGACAAGTTTTTTACTTTGAAAAACGTCATTCCTTTGCTTTTATGAAAATTGCATGCCTATTATGCCAACATTCCACTGTTATGAATGAAGGTATTCATTCAAACACTTCTATAAGAAAATATTACCCATTAAAAGTATCAGTATCCTTTACTTTTTTCACATTATATGTATTAATATGCAAGAAAAATAACCAAACATTGGCTGAAGTTAAAGCAGAGACTATAATCTTCTTGGTTAACTGCTTAGCAAAAACTCATAATAACCTCATTATCACTGTAATTGGTTATGCTCGCGACGATTACTCTGACCTGTACAAGCATGAGCAGTTCATGTAAGATTCTTATAATTTATGATACCTTTAACTAATGATTTCACACCAGCATATATAGACCTGTGTCTTGTGGAACAGCCTTTCACTAGCACAACTTTATCTAGACAATTATCTTGCACTAATTGTTCCATAAATGGCAGAAAACTTTTATTCACAACTACCACTACTCTCTTTATCCAGCTAATCCTGTAATGAAAATGTTCCCTTGAATAGTTTTGTAAAGTGGGTTTGTATGTGTTATGTATTGCTAATGTTTCGAGAACTTGTGTGCCAACTATTTTGCCAATTAATTTTATCACAGCATTATATCTATGTATTGGTAATACTGTATATACTTTGGCAATAAAATATTTTGAAAATCATAATAAAAATATTCACTGACACAATAACTGTTTTTTTTTTTTTTTTTTTTTTTTTTTTTTTTTTTTTTTTGAGGCCCCAACTGGGTAACCCCGTTTATTTACCCCGTAATAGGTATGAGAGGGTCGGGGTCATCCCTCTGATACCTTACATGATATCTACATAATATTTAAATCATCATCTATAACAATATTTTTTATATAATTATAATATACATTATATTCAAACATTCAATCAATTTTCATATAATATGTATAACAATTATGTATGATAATGTATTATGCAACAGCTTCAAAACAAACAAAGAATATTGGTTTGGGGTAAATTGATTTAGTGTAGCCTATTAGTTTATTAAAGTTCTTACAATTTGCCATCCTTCATTTACATGTTTGGTCAAATTTGTATTTTTGTAAATATTCCACGCCAATTTAAGACTATTTTTAAAACCAGGTATTGTAGGTAACACGATTTTTCTCTTTGACAAATAAATATATCTTTTCAATTCTAAAAACAAAATATCATATTTAAAATCATTAACTTCAGAACCTAAAATAAATGATTTACAATTAAAATTATCATCCAAATTATCTATCTTGTCTTTCAGATATTGAAATAACAATTGAATTTTTGGACATTCCCAAAATAAATGCAACAGAGTTTCCTCTTGGCAATTGCAAAAAGTACACATTTTACTATTGACAATTTTCATTTTGAATAAAAGTGAGTTTGTTGCTAAAGTTCTATGAATTATTCTTGTCTGAAACCACTGAATATAGGAATCTTTGGTACATTTGAATGCATAACTATATATTAAATTCCAATTTATATCAAAATTTGTAAAAAATGAGTTCCATTTTTCTTGACATGTTGGTACATCTTGATTTCTAACTAGAATTTCATAAACATACTTTTTGTTATTTTGTGTAATTAAAATAGGTTTTATATAACAACTCATAATAGGGTATTGAAACATTAATAAAATCTTACAAATAGAAATGTTAAGCTTTTGTGTATATAATAATATTGCTTTTTTCAAACTATGATATTGTAAAAAATTTACTTGTTTTTGTGTCACCTGCTCTAAGTAAGTTAAATCTACAAAATCGCCTTGGGGATTAATAATATCATTAACAAATCTGATTCCTTTTTCATAAAAAATTTTGATATAAAAGTATCTATTCCTGCTAACAAGTTATGATTGTAAAACAATGGCATTTGTAACACTTGTTCTAAACTGTCTATACAAAGTTTTATCTGTAAAAATCATATAAGCTTTTAAAACATCTATCCAAAAAGCATTTTTAATTTTATCAATTGTCAATTTACAAAACAACTTTACCTGTGCTAAACACTTTATCAATATTGAATAAAGCCATCACTAGCTTATAACATTTACTGTTAGTATTACTAACATACCTTTTAAACCATTTTATCTTTATAGAATGTATATAACTATCAATATCAATCATATTTAGACCACCTTCCTGATATGTTTTAATAACTACTGATTGCTTTATCTTTGCTTTTACCTTCCCATATAAATTTATAAAATAAGTCATTAAGTGTTTTCAAAAATGCTGAATTAGGTGTTGGTAAACTTGTAAAGCAATGAGTGAATAAAGGAAGGAGTAATGACTTAACAACAGTAATTTTTCCTATAGGTGTTAACATTCTTTTTTTCCAGTATCC